GGAAACTGAGAGTGGTAATGACTCCCACACTCTGCTAGAAGAAATGGGGATTGGGGGGGGGGGTGCTTGCAAAGGGGATTCCAAGGAGGCAGTGCAGTAGGTGAACCATGTTCCCTATTTTTAAAAACAAACCAACCCCAATTTATTAAATCCAGGGGTCAGCAGGGATGGGCAAAATCCCCTTAAGATTTACTTATGATAGTCCATGAGCAGCGGGCCAGTAGTAGGAATTGTTTGTAGTTTTATAATTGTTTACCACCCAGAAAATGTACAAAATGGTCCTATGGAACACCCCATCTCAATAGAGCTCCTTGCTACCAGGAAAAAATTATTTATTGGTCGACTGGTAGCTATTGTTGATTTGGAAATAAGCATACGTGACCAGGCAACACCTGTCACAGAGTAGGATCCAAATGAAAACGTCAAGAGGGTCCCTGAAAAGAATAGAAAAAACACAAAAGAAATGAAGTCTCTCACCTCTCTTACAAACTAGCCAGGGCATGGAGAACAGCCACAAAGAGTAGCCGAAAATGTTCCTATGAGGCAACCGACAAATTAACAAGATATAGATTTATTAGGCATGGTCCACATACCAGCCTGTACAATCTCCTCCAGCGGGCAACACAACCGAGTCTCCTAGAATATTGAGATATGGCAAATTTGATGAGATGAGACCCGAAGAAATATCTGTTCATCCAATGAAAGCCCAGAGTAAGCAATACACACAAACTGATGAACCCAACCTACCAAAGTGACAGGGCATAAGTCATGTGACACCTTAGGATCCTAAAGGATAAACAAACAGTGACAAGAACCTTGAAAACCTTCAGTGCACTCAACATAACATCAAAGGGCCCAAACTAGGCATCAAAGATGATTCGGACCTAAGTGTTCATAAAAATGAGAAATCAAGGGAAGATGAATAGGAGAGAAAGCCTTATCCCTTTCTCTAGCCGATGAAGTTTTGGGAAGAAAGGACCTACCAGGATACAGAAAAACATAAGTGGAATGGAAAAGAGTCCTGTGAACATCAACTGCAAACACATCAGAATCTTGATGTTCGCTAGCCAACAAGAGAAGTAAATAAATCTTAAGTGAAAGGTGATATAGGGAACTTGGCACAAAAGGTTCAAAGGACAGATGAGATAAGGCATGGAGAACCACTGAGATATCCCAATTAGGAACTTGGAAAGGATGTTGAGGATGGATAACCCAAAAAGGTTTCAGAAGCATGAACAAAACTGGGAACTCAAAAACTTTACGTCTTCCGAAAAAATGAAAAGCAGTTGACAAAGCTGCCTTATACAGAGAAACAGACAAATGTGCCAAACCTTTGTTGATTATCCATGTCAGAAATCTGGAAACATGCAGCACAGTGAGACAAGAAGGATTAAAACCATGTCTGAGAGACCACTGATGATAAGTAAACCATTTCTGTTGATAAACATCCAACGAAGGATGCCAAATGGATCATGTTAATAAAGATGTCACCTGAGAGGTCAATCCCTGATGTCATGCAACAGACAACATAAAAACCAGACGTGAAGCTGGAAAATAGTGATTGCAAGATGAAGAATGTCTGACCAAGGCTGACATAAGAGGGATGGTCAGAGAGGAAGAAGTTGGTGCTCCTGAAGGAGTGGAAACCAAGGCTGACCTGGCCAATATGACATCACCAGAAGAATTTAACAGGACAAGGAGTGAATCGGTGCAAGAACCTCGGATAATAGATGAATTGGAGGGAATGCGTAAAGATGAAAACTCATCCAATCCTGGCCAAGAGCATCTCTGTCTAAAGGCAGAGGGACAGGAAACCAGAAGGAAGGGAACTGGGAATTCCAGTGAGTGGTGAAAGCATTGATCTAAGGCATCCTGAGAAGAGAACAGATCCAATGAAAGGCTTGTGGATGAAGCATCCATTCTGTGGGAAGAGCACTGTTGGGACAATATAACTGATTGGCCACTAAATTCATAACACTTGGAACATGACACACAAGGAGAACAATCTGATGATTGTGGGCTCAAAGGAGAAGATTTAATGTCTTAAAACAAAGAGACCTGAAGTGAGTGCTCCTTTGCTTTGAAATGTAAATGACCACAGTGGAATTGTCTGGGTTAAGCATTACCACCTTCCCTTGCAACAATTTGAGAGCCCGAGACATGGTTCATTGAACTGCTAGAAGCTCTAAAAGATTGATGTGGAGAGAAGATTCCTCTTCTGTTCAGAGACCCTTGAATTCCATATCTCCTACACAAGCTCCCCATACCTGGATAGAAGCATCCATGAAAATATGTATCTCTGAATGTGGAGGCGAGAGAGGGACACCTACTGTCATGTTGTCCCTGTTCAATCACAAGTTAAGATCAACTAGGCTGGAAGTCAATAGAGTCACCAAAAAACCCAGTGCATCCATGCAAATATTCAATTGGTCCTGTAGTGACCACTGAAGGGAAAACATGTAGCCCCAACCCAAAGGAATGAGTGATTCCAAGGATGCCCACATCCCCAAAAGAGATAGAATCACTTGCACCACTGTATAACAAGAATAGCCCATTCCATGGCCTGAAGGAGTAGAGGTGAAGATTGGGCCTGACTGATTTGGGAATTGAAAAATACCCCTAAATGGATGAGGTACTGTGTGGGAGTAAGAACAGACTTCTCCATTTTAGGAGAAACCAGCCTCTCACAGCTTCAGATAAAAAAGTCTGAGTGTGAAGCTTTGCTAAGTAGTGGGAAGGAGTGAGAAGAAGCTCATCATCCATATAATGGTGAGTGTGAATGCCCAATAAGTGAAGATGACATGAAAAGGATCTGACTATCCAGGAAAAGCCATATGAGACAGATGGTAGAGTGCAAAACTGACAAACTTGTCTATCGTACACAAAATGGCAATAATGACATAAAGACTTCACAATCAGAATATGATGATAGGCGTCGGCAACATCTAACTTTGTCGTTCACAGACTGGGTGCAAAGTGCCACTGAAGAAAAAGAAACGACTTTATGGTTAATTAAGGAGGCTGGAGGAACCAATTTTGAGAAAGGTCAATAACAGGTTGCCAATTGCCCATCTTCTTTACTACTATAAACAAATGGGAATAAAAACCTTCAAGAAAGGAGTGGACGCATTATATGGCCTGTTTATGCAGAAGATCCTGGATGGCTTGTGCTCAATGACTGGATGCAAGACAATCCTTGGGGATGGGAAAGACAACTGGTATGATAGACAATGGAGTAGAAGAGATGAAATGAAGAGCCAATCCTCTTGTAAGAACCAGAATGACCCACTGATTGGTGATGAAGGTCTCTCATACAGACACAAACTGTCTGAGCTGAGCCTCCACAGAACCAGACCCTATAGGGTAGTCACCAATGCTATTGTCGGCACTCCATACAAGTGGAGGATACCCACCGATAAGGGTAGAATCTCCCTTGTATTTCGATAGAATGTGGAGCCAACATAGAAGGTCTGGAAACCCAAAAGGGAGATGCAGGAAACCATCTTACAGAAGACTGGGAATGGTGATAGGCCATTGTCGATAATAGTGGAGACAGGCAACATCCAACCCAAGATTCCATGGAATCTGGAATATCTGCAAAAATCAAATGTCTGAGAAAGGAGCTTCTCTGAGATCTCTAAATGCCAAATAATAAAGTCAAATGCTCTCAACAAGGCATCTCTCTCCAAAAGATCCCAGAAACAAAACAACCAATAGACCATTGAGAGAGCAGAAGCTGATAACTTTACCAAAGTAGAAGTCAATAAATAACTGTGATCCTCTGAAAATTAAGCAGTAGATCTATGATAGGCCTCAGACAACAGTGGAAAAGAAGACAAAAACTGCAAAACTGTTGCAAGGGACAGACAAATCTGGGAAAATTGAGTTAGGTTAAGACAAATGATTGCATCAGGCCTAGAACTCCAAATAGGAAGAAGAGGATCTAACCTCTGAGAATCTAAATATGGGTCCTCCAAGAGATGGAAAGCTAATGCACGCTGATCTGATAAATGGGGAGGACAATGCATGGCAGCACCCTCTCTCAATTGATCAGCATATCTCCGAGCATGCACAGCAATGTCTGGCAAAGGTGGAATGACTAAATAATCAGCCAAATGACTTTCCCCCAACAAAGAAGGAGAAGAGTAATAAGTCAAAGGAGAAATGCTCAAGACATTACAAACTTGATGTATTAGTTGCAAAAATGGTGCGGGAGGCGGGATATTCATCTGAGGTTTGTAATTAGTTGTCTGAGCAAAGGAATGAGTCAGAAAAACATAATGTCCAAATTCTTACCAGTCCACCCTTGAGACCACACAAGCTCAGCCTCTGAGCCAACAGGAAAAGAAACATCAGACCTCATGTAAGACTCCATCTCTCTCCGTATGAGAGATTGGACATCTTTCACAGAAAGGGGACCTCCCCCTGATGCCTGGCTACACTAGATTTCAAAGGTGGCAGAGTAGGAGCATTAGAAAACTTCCTGTCAGAAATGTGAATGTGAGAATTCATATTTGAAACATCTTAGAAATTTTTTTAAATTATAACCTCTTTTCTTTGTGTGTGGACAATAAAGAAAATAGAAAATAAACTCAAAACCCAATAAGACAGGTGAAAAAGTGTTGTCCAAAGCATTTATATAACTAAAGTTACACTATACGTAAGAGAAACCTGCAAGCAAGCATGTAAAACCATCATCATAATGTTCTGCCATTGAGAAAAGTGAATAGGAAGTAATAACAGGGAACTTATATATCTGGGATAGAGGCACATTGATGTAGGTGGAGAGAATCACAAGATATAATTTGCTATGGGCAGAGAAGAAAAACTTTCATCTGAATAAAACTAAAGTGTGAGAGGAGGTAAGTGTGTTTCAGAAATCAGCCATTTCTACATGAGGCTCTTTGAATGCAGTATATCACTTTTCTATATTAACAATTACAGTATGTAAAAAAATTCAATAAAATAAGTAAATCCTTAAAATGAAAAGTTATCAATACTCAGAAATGTTTCCAGAGAGGCCAAGATTGTATTCCTTCCAAAACCCAACAGCAAGAGCTAACGTGGACACTGGTAGTTCGACCTTAGTATAGTAGTTGTATGCCAATTTATCTATAGATTTGGGAAGACTTCATTAATTACAAATCAATAGCAGTTGCATGTTCTAAAACTCATCAAAACATATGCAAGTACAAAAGTGATCATGGTCAAACAAAGCATACAGGTCAGTGCTCCTACTACCTTAAAAAGAAAATATTTGCAAACTTGTAAATACACCTAGTCATAATGCTTTAATTTCTTTACAAGTTTCCCTACTTTTATCTTTAAAGTCAGCTACAGACAAAAATCCCAGAATTCTTTCACTGTTCTGATGGTAAGTACATTTTCTAAAAGGGGTATTTTTATCAAATAAAACCAAACAGAACAGTTTTCATTGATCTTTGCTAGTTGACATGGTACATAACTCATTGACCTTTACTTATTATCAAACATTATTTTTTATATGTATATTTGCTGTAGTACATATCATTAAAAATTTTTACTGGTTGTGTGTGGCATATTAATGTGGTGCATTTCTTTCTTTCATTTTTACTAATTGTCATATATGTTAATACAGCACAAATCTTTATGGGTTCAGGTGTCAGGTTGAAATAGTAATTATCTTTCACTAATTCTTACTGATTACTACATGATTAGTTTCAATGTTTTCTACTGACTGTTTTGAGTCATTTTGAAGTATTACATACCTTTCATTGTTTGCTTCTAATTGTCTGGTATTATGACAAAATAGTGCATATCTGCCATTGTTTGTTACTAATTGAATGGTTTCATATTAAAATATGGAATATTGTTCTTTGTTTATTACTGATTAATGATATCATGTTAAAAACATTTACTAATTCAGCATGACACTTGATAATCAATGAGGATTGAGGATAGGTATTTACTCTTTCAACATGACACATAACAGTTGGTAAGAATCAGTGAAAAATATTTAGTATTTCAACTTCACACTTAGCAATCCCAAAGGATCAGTAAAAAATATTAAGATATTCACTATTTCAACATGACACATGGCAATCAGTAAGGATCAATTGTGGTATATGAATATAGCATGGGTTTCTATCTTCTTGTAGTATTAGATATTAAATTTATTCTTTGTTCTGAATATGTGTAGATTTCACAAAACATATGGTCAAGAAAACCATTAACTTGATCTTTTATTCAAGTTATCTTTATTCCTTTGATGTTCTCAAAGTAGGTAATGCCTGTTACAGCTCATGGAGAACATTTCTTAATACAATGTTGTGTAAGAATGTTGACAGCATTGTCCTTCAACAAATATTCAGGGGATATCTAGAGGTTACAGTTCACCTATATTTTAATTCGATTGACTGGTCACATAGATAATGTTTCACATCAGATAAATGAGATGTTTTGATATTAAGAACCTAGAATTTGGCAGTTTGGTCTGGCACATCAATGAAGATAATCAAGTAGAACTTAGATGTCAGTAGTCAGTCTAGTGGTCCAATAAAAGAGACAGTCCAAAGTAATTAAGTAAACTACAAATGTAAAAATTGTTTGTGTTTAGTATATAATAAAAGTTGTTTATTTTTTGCCAAGTCTCATTATTTCATTTAACATTGACTCAATTAGTAAGATATTTAGTACTACTCCATAATAATTATCTTGAGCAAATCTCCTATCATTTAGTGAATGAATATTCAATTCACCTGAATATATCATACAATGAAGGATATTCATTATATAAAAATTAAATTTAGTGATTAGGAAGGATAAATGATAGATATTAACAATTTCAACACGATACTTGACAATAATTAAGGGTCAGTGACAGATATTCACTGCTTCAACAAGGAGTCTAAACTTTGAGGAGAGGTTTAGAACTTGAACTTGATTGAATCTACAAAAACCAAAGATAATTTATTCAGGTGTTCAAACTTTATTATGCATTTTGATAGCTTTCCTTATAAGTTGATTTTTTTAGTAGTAGAATGAAAAGGTTGTAAAATAATGCAATTTCAAACTTGCTTTTTTATAAACTATTTATTGACTTTGGTAATTGTCAATTTGCTGATGTCATGTTTGCTGTTAGTTTGAATTATTTTAAAAGCTTCATCGATAGGCCCATGTGTGTGTGTGACGAGCTAAATTCAATTTGATATTGATGCTTTCTGTCTTTATGTTTTTTAGAGCAGTTAAATTATCTCTCCACTGCATATTTTAGTTATAATTTTTATTCAATTTTACTAAAACCTTGCCCAAAACCCTTGATTAAGTATCATCCTTCCAAAAGATTTATAAATAACTTTTTGACAACAGATTCCAACACCTTGTTAACAACAAAAGACATACTAACAGACCGATAATGAATTATTCATCTTATCCTCCATTTTTTATAAATATAAACAGAGATTATTATGGTGGCAATATTTAAATCATCAGGAATTCTTCTAATTTCAAAAGGCTTTTAAAAATGTGGCTATTTTTTTAGCTACAGTATAAAATCTTTTGTTAATTGCTACTAGACAGTATAAGCTTCAAATATAAGAGACTACAAGGACATATTCTCTTACATGTAATTGTAAAGCAACAGAGCAAGAAATTTCCTTAACCTACTCTTATTTTACAGCTATAATTATATAAGAATATCTGCCAGGTGCTTCAGAGCATAAACATGCCATCTTTATATATATATATATAGCTTACTCACCATTTTCTTTCTCTATAACAGAAGGATCTTCATCTCCACTCATTAAAACAATTGCATATTTTGGAACAGTGACAATGGCTCTCCAGGTTGCCATAGCAACAGGAGGTTCTTGGCAGGGAAGTAATGACCTATTGTTAATACTTGCTCCATATGTGAAGACACAGTCTCTGTTTGAAACACAAAGAAAATACCAAATATGGTATTTAGAAAATGCACGCCTCATTACCTTAAAAACAAATCTCCTTGTATACACAAACTATACAAAATTTTAAATCTGTCTGTACCCCCAATAACTACAGACCTTACTCTAACATTTTCTTCTTACTTTCTTATAGATGGGCAAACATTAAAAATAACACTACTGAATGCAATGAGATAATATCGGTTTCTATCTGAAATTAAAATCAAGTATCGTTTATTATGTAATCTAACAACTCAAAATATCTCTGATGATAAACTAGTAGTCTAAAACTACAAAAATAATAATATAATAGCTAAAATAACTGATTATTGCATGTACATGACACTTTTGAAATTACCCTATAATAGTTATTTATATCAATGTTTTGCTAGTTTTTCCATCAACTGATTAAAGAATAATATACAAAAATTTTCAAATACTTTTAGTAAACATTCAGGCCAAGAAACCCTTTTTTTGTTGTTCATAACTTTAAAATGGGTATTTAAAAAACTCAACAAACAAAAAACTTCATCAGTTGATGAACAGATTTTCAAGCTAATGTTTTCCTAACACTGAAGCACTACAATACAGAACTTGTCAAAACAAACTTCTAATCAATACAGTTATCACTTAATTTTCAATAACATCTGAATATTTATAAAATATTTAAAAAACTATAATAGCCTATTATACATTGAAAACTTCTATTTGATATTTCTTTGAGACTTTTATAGGGAATTCATAAAACTTAAGAGTCAACTAAGCATTCCATATAACTTTGAATTGTTGCTCTACATCAATCAGTAAAGAAGTAATGACATTTTTAGTAGTTCAGCAAATTTTGTGGTAGTCCATTTAAAACAATAGTTAAATCTATGAATCTTGAAGATCACATAATTGAGAATTAAAGTTTTCCACATATCTTCATTACTTCTTTGACTTTTTTGATGAAACAAATTGCAAACTGAATTTTGAAAGAACTAACTTTCATAATAAGGAATTTTTTATTTATTTTAGGTATATGGCAGCAGCCACGTGATTGTTTACATCCAGAAGCAGCATAATACCTAGTTACATGTGGCTAATAAAAGCAGCCTCGTAGGTATTTCAAACTCAACTTTCACAGTAAATGATATTATATAACTTTGAACACTAATATAAAACTATCTCTACTTGAAAACAACTAACAAAATATATATAGGTGAACAATGTTGAAATATATATGGACAAGTCTGATTTTGTGTTCCAGTAGGTCTGCCATGTTCTCTTCATTAACATGGACAAGTAGTTCCAGAAAAGAAAAGGGCTGTTCATATGAATGGTCCATTATGATGGACAGAAAGCCTGAAGATACCGATCACATGCCCTTGATGGGATTGTGTTGATCCTAACTTTCAAGTACTGTGTATATTTTGAGCTTTGATAACTTAAGTACCGTATATACATGTAATTGCATTAAAAGCTATCAATCTCAAGGCATTTGCTTAAAACATTTTAAAAGTGATCATAAATACAAGTTTAATGCCTATAAGACATACATTTACTTATTTTTCTACAGTATTATTTTATAATTTAAATTTATACAGACACATGAGAAATACTATATAATGTTTCATTATTTTTAAAATTTTATTTCCTTACTTTCATGTCTCTTTTTCTAATGTTTAAAACACAATGAGACTTGTTCAAACTATGCAGGGGCAAAACTAATTGGAGGAAGTCAAGAGGTGCAGTAAACACAGATTCAAGACACATGGGACCCAAAATGCATGGAAAACAATTTGGTTTACACAAAAATATTTCTGTTAAAATGAGTATATATATATATCCTAGACGTAGAAAGCACCACTTGTGAAATAACACTTTCATGCTCTATCCAATCATATTTAAATCTTCCTTATAACAGCTTTCAAAGCTGGGTTTCATTAGTACTTGTTCAAACTACATGATGTGATATCATTAAAAGGTAACAAACAAGGAATGTACCAATAAAAGCAGCAAAACAGAGACAAGACAGATAATATATTTTCATGAGATGATACTTCCTTAGCATATAGAAACAATAGGTGGGCCAGCATGAAAGCACCATGTACCATGTTGTAGCACTTCAAAAGTATGCACATTATGTATTTTGTACTTATCATTACTGTGTGTTGTTAGTTACTGCAAAAAAATAGTTTATTAGAAGTTTGTACTCATTATAAGTTGCTGTTTTTCTGTGTAAATTATAAGCATAATTTTGATGGGAATAACCTTAACAGTGTTATGGTAGAAAAGGATCTTGGTGTTTTCGTTGATGTCTCTTAAGCCAGTTAAGCTGTGAGCTGTTGTTAGCAGTAGGACAAATAGGATTTAAGTTTTATTGACAGTCTAAAGAGGTTATAATTTCATTGTATAAGTCACTTTCTCTAGGCCACATGTGGAGTATTGTGTTTAGTCTTGGCCTCCTTACCTCAAGAAAGATATTGAATTGTTAGAAACAGCTCAAAGAATGGCTACTAGATTGATACCTAGGATGGAAAGGTTGTCATACCAGGCCAGATTAAGATCTATGAAACTGTTTTCTCTTGAGAAAAAGAGTCAGCAAAGATCTGATTGAGGTGTTTAGGGATGTTAAAGGAATTGATAGTGTTAATACATCATTTTTTCTTCAAAGTTAATGAGGCGAACATTAAAACTAGGGGATGCAAATACAAATTTTGGCAGGGTAGAAGCCACATACCCCTCCCCCATTAGTGGATCTGCTAATAGAACAGTTGACTTTTGAAATGGATTGCCTTCATATTTGGTGAATGCAGTTAAATTTAAGAGAGTTAAAGGAAATGACTGATACATATTTAAATGATAAGAGCTGGCTTTGAGGTTTTATTTTAATTTTTTAGTTTAGTGTTTGGAACATTCTTAATGGACCAACAAGCCTCTTGTTGTCCTTAAATGTTATATATTAAATCTTATTCTGACATTTTCAAAGAAACATCTATGAACTGTGGGTTTATCTTGTAGGAAAATCAAATTTGGAATTATATTTTATATGAAAGAGTTAGAAAAATTACACAACTTGAAATTATATATATATATATATATTTAGTCATGATCATTAATTGTATGTACTACTGATAGAAAGTTGATTATGGACTGCACTAGCTAGATTTCCTTTGGATTTATCCATCAAAAGAAAAAAACCTACATATCTGCTAATTATCAAATGGTACCTTTACATATGCCTCTATGAAAATCACAATGGTAGTGTAATCATGACTTATTTATAATTTAAACAAGATTTCCCTATAAAATAATCATATAATTTCACAAAATTTCATTTACAAAATGAATTTTACAAGAGAATGCAGCAAACTTGTTTATGGAATGTGTATTTAAGTAGATTTATGCATTAACATAGACCAACTGATAGATTTAAAAACATATATATATGTATATATAGACAAATGTATACATATAGGTACAATGACAAGCTAATAATATTTCAATCATCAAAATAAAATTTTGTTATAGGACATAACTAAAATTGCCAAACTATTTTACTACAACCAGAAAAAAAAATTATATTTCAAATTTGTTTTAGGAAATTATTATACTTAGCATTTGATTATACATGTATACTGACCTCCCATCTTGATCTTTGACCCACAAGAGTGATGATCCTTCAGGTTTGGTCTGATAGTGTATTTGTATTATTTGTGGGAATGTATGACCACATCTAACTCCTTCCTTCCAGATCTTCAAGGCCCATTTTTCCAAACTAAAACAAAGATCCTCTTTCTCTAACTTTACTACTTCTTCTACATTTTTGTCAGCGTTCGTTAACTTGAAGTGGGATGAATAAGTACTATCTATAAGACTAAATGTGTTCAAACTTTGAACTTTAGTAACTGTAATATCACAACAGTCCAAGATACATTCAAAGTTACTAGTTTCAGTCTCACTTGTAAGGACACTGAAATTATCATTCCTTATTACACCACTTAATAGCTTACTTGGTTGTTCTTCTGTTTGCATGTGCTTAAAACTCCATGTAGATGACTGTGTTGAAATTACAGTATCTGGTGTTGTATCATCTAAGCCCTTTAAGTTCAAAAGTGCATTGGGGTTCATCTGATCTTCTGACAAACAGAAGTCAACATCTTCAATACCTGGTTTAGACTTGGCAGTGTTGTCAATTCCACTTTCTAAAAAATTACAGAACCCTTCTTCTTGCTCAAACACACATTTTTCAGGTGAAATGGTGCACTGTTTCTTAAATTTGTGATTGTCACTAAATATGTTGTGTATTTTATCTCTTTGAACATGATGAACAGATTTGTGAAATTCACAATATGCTTGAAGATTTGCACAGCAACCTAATACAGGCATTAAAGAATCATGACAGTCAACATTTCTGAAAGTTTCTGTATAATTTAACTTTTTTCTGGACTCTTTTATATTATCACCCTTTCTTTTTCCTGTCTTTAAAATAGTTAAATTCTCACACTTTAGTGAATGGTCTTTCCACTGATTTTCTGTATAACAAGACACATGGCATTTGTTAAATGATTTTGACACAGGTTTGTGTGGCACATCAGAACTTGTTACTATTCTTTGTCTCAAATTGATATTCTTATTATGACTACCAGTAATCTTCTTCAATCCTTCATTTGAAACATTTTCTTGACAATTCAGAAAGTTCTGATGACAAGGATTAGCTATAATATTATCTTCTACTGTATTCCAATACACCTGACTTAGATTAGTAAATTTATCACCTGATAAACCACATTTTTCACAATTCTGATTAACTGGTTCAAGAAAAAGTGTCACACTTCCAAAAAAGACTTTTTGATCAAGTTCACAATCTAACTGTATTACATAATGCTTAACCAAAATTTCACTTGTATTGGCCATCAAAGGCAGGTCTTTCTCATCCACTTCATTCATTACGAGTTATATTACAAGTATGATTACTTAGGTGGAAGACACAGTTCAGGTAAATAATGGTTACTTGAATACATAATTCTGAGATGGGCCTGTCTTGCTTATAATGGATTCTTAAATGCCTCTCAATGTTCAATGAAATGTAAACATTTCAAAGAGCACAAAGTTGTTCTAAAGCTATAGGAAATATAGGACTGGTATTACATTCAATTATTAACTGTAGTAATTGGAAGCCAAAATAACATCAATTGATTTTATGTAATATCACCTTTTTTGTTATATAATAATCACACACATTTGTAGAAAAAGCAAGTCAATTTTTTAAAAGCAATGCATCATTAAACTGGCAGTGATGTTAAGGTACATATAACCTTAATGGCAAGGAACTGATGACTGTAAACCGTAACTTATGATTCTGTTTTTGCATTCAACTTATTTATTGGAACGTCAAACACTGTTATTGTCAGTCCTCAATCAGATATAACAATATGCAAATTTTGTAATCATAATTTGTTTCTTACAAAAACATAAAGGTTAATAGATTTCTGTTGTCTTGAAATCATATAAACACTCTTTATTGATATTCATTAAAACCATTTTGTGCATATGTATTCACAGGTATAGTGCTTTTAGTTAAAATATACTTATAGTTATACTACAGTCTACAGGCTGAAGCTATAGAATTTGAAATGCGTAATCCATTGCACATGCTATGTCATATATGAAGTTAATACAATACGAAAACTTTAAATTACAAAAGAAGGCATATAATAAATATTTTTATACAAAAGTTGCAAAATGCTCAGTTTAAATTGTCAGTGCTTCAGAATTATATGCTCTAGTTGTTCGGCATCTGTTCCGGAAAATACTGAACACAGATACATGTATCAGTAGTGTAGACTTAAATTAGCGTAGCACTAACAGTAAATCATATTATTATTATCAAATATTTCCGACTCATGCGTCAGTACCATACCACAATCAATCACATTTAATAAGTGATTCATCATACGATGCACTTGTTTCATAGATATTTTTTCCATGTTGTAATAAGAATTATTCTTTAAAACAAAGATACAAAAGCAAACAAATATATTTTAACTTATATTCATAGGTAGAGTAAAATACAATATTCATTTTTTTCTTTATCCAACGCTCGCGAGATGCTGCAATTAATTTGTCTGTAACCTAAGTTAGCTGTTTATTTTTTGAATTAGCGTCCTCTTGAAATGTTAATAACTAAATTACAGTTATAAAGAACAAAATAATTGAATTTATTTTACGAAAGTACAAAGACAATATTACCCCTCTAAAACAGGCTAGTATAACCTAATAAAAAACAAAACAAAACTACATTAGAATATTTTGGCTGTGATTACAGGTTACAAATGAACATGGCTCATGGATAATTCGAAAGAAAATACTATCAAAATATTACTTTCATATTGGTTAAGCCACGAAATTGTAGTAGGGTATGAGGAAGGAGGGGGAGGCTAAATTCCAAATACGTTAGATACATGTACTTAAGATCATGTATAATTTTAAACAAGTATAAACTCTAATTCTTAAAAAAAATAAAGTTACGGATTATCTTAGTTCAATATTTTATTTTAAAGTAGATCTAGGCAGTGTGTTAAACATGTTAAACAGTTTACGACAGACTTCTGCCATTTTTCTTGATTTGGAGACAAAGTTTCTGGATCCATGCTGAGCCCTTCATGAAGTTTATATTTTCTGAAAAGAAATGATATAATAAGGCAGTCTTTCAGTTTCTTTTTCTGGTGCTCCTGAAGCATTATTTGATGGTATCCAGTCACTAGAAAAATCTGTTACTATATGACTTAATGCCAATATGGCAAAAATGGCTTTCTCTCTCAACATGGTGTTCAAAGATCCAGACATTCGATAAATGGACAAGGTCTCCCTGTGTGGAACAAGACAATCTTTCGGTTTTCCGTGTTTTTGACACAGATGGCGTAGTACAACAGATAATGTTTGATGAATACCTCAACTGCAAGCAGTTCTTTCTTTATTTTGCAGTCTCATCGTTCTGGAGCCATGAGCACAAGACTAGCATATTGTGCTATCACACATTCCACTCTATCTTGCAACTGTGATAACACTGCTCCTACTACTCATTGCTGGGAGCAGTATCTACTAAGAACTCTCAGTTGTGTGAGGATATGCCAGCACTGAAGCTTTCACTATATATATTAGGCACCTTTCCTTTTGCAGTCCCTTCAGTATAAGTTCATTAGTCTTTCATAAGTGGCAGGTGCATTACACAGGCTTATTGTCATATGTGAAACTCGTACAAGCCATCTGAAATACTGTAAGCAGAATTAGCTCTGCTCTTGTCTTCCAGTTTGACTTGCCAGCATCTGAATGCCAGGTCTAAAGTATTTGCAGCCAACAAGTCACATGCTTTTGCTACTGTGCTGAGTCAAGAGTGCTTTCACAATCCTCAATTAGTGACCTTAGATGTGTTGGTAACCAGGTACTTGCTTTTAGATGTGGCAAGATGCAAGTAATTCTAGCGATACCACTAGTTTCAGTTACTTCTACTTCACTTACTCTGCTGATGACCAGTCCAGTTAGAAGCTTTACTGTCAGATGTTTATAATTACAGAACAACACCAATAATATGTCCCTCCTCGAACTGTCTAAGATAATGTTACTTCATTGTGAACATGAAACAGTGTATTTGCTCTATCAGCACATTACATGGCACCAATAAACTAGATCTCACTCATGTGAAGGATTTATCATTATATATGTATTTTAATATCGACGTTTGTTTATATTACATTTATATTTAGAAACATACATAGCTTATATTGTTAAATATGTATTGCGAAACTCCCGCCTAGATTCTCGAGTGTAAGACTCAACAATATATGAATGTACATAAACGCTTCATGTAGCTTTGTATTGTTATGTAATCTGATTTCTCGAGAAACTCTTCACACACCTATAAATATAACCAACGCGACGCGCCTAAAAGTAGTATCTATTATTAGTTTGCTATAGTCAGTGTGCTATAAACTTCGGAAGCTATAACTGTGATTGTTATAACGCTTATCAATCGGAAAACTGCAGATATTTGACCAGGAGCATTTACAAAGTTCGAATAATACAAATCATTTAACATCAGTAAATTCTTATCTGACATTAGTATTTTTACGAAAACATTACATAACGTCACTCGGCGTGTGTGGTTGGTGAATAACGAAGGATAAAGCTAGCTAGCTTCTCGTTAAGCGAATTGTAGCTACATCAACTCGTAATTAACTCGCTCATCATGAACCCTCCATAAAACGCCAACGAAGTTTCAGATTAGAAAGAAGACTTTATATTTCCTCTAAGTTGGAAAAATAGTTGTATATAAATCATTGTTTGTAATAACTGTTATTGTAAATTGTATTCTTGTTTGTATATTAAAACATAGTTGTGTTAAAAAGAAAATTGTTTGTATCAATCTTGTTGGCAAATATCATAAACTGACTATATATCAGCTTTTACTTAACTGCTAAATCCAAAGTACAATTTAATTACTAAATTTAAAGTATCATTTAACTCAGTTTCAGACCTTTCGAAATTGTAATACATAACATCCATAAAATACAATAAACAATTACTTATTTACACAGAGAGACTGTGATTTCTTCTGCAACATTTACTTATGCAGGCTACTGTTCCTGAGCTTGATCTGGCCAGTATCAGATGATTTTCCCATCGAAATGCAGCTCACCTGTTGCACAGGCAAAACTGACCAACAATTTCTGCAGCATTTCCATCCATAGGATATCAATGTCAGACTCCAGGTTAGAGATTACTGATTTCATTCTGTGAAATTTCACTTTATCTAGATGTAAGGGAATATTCGCCTCTTCAGTCACGGACAGTCTGTTATCATTTGCCAAAACAAAGTTAGTATATCTTTACTAAGAGTGTCTGATTTATGGGAAAATCAAACAGCATTCTGGTAGTTCCTGTGTCAACCAGAAACGCTATCTCTTGCCTTTATTTCTTCATAGGCGCATAACAAGCATCACCCGCTACTGAGAGAGCTGGGATGACCATCACACCTTTGGATTCAAGCTACCTGCTGTGCTCCCAAAATAGCTAGTTTTTAGTTTCACAAAGGGGAAGTTGCAGCAGCTACAGCTCATTGCTGACCTTTCTGCATCTATTGTGCAATTAGGTGATACTGGTAGCTTTGCCCACCTTGCTGCCTGGCAGAATATGAGTAGTTGACTGGAGCAACAGCCTAGCAGAGACATTATCTATATTGGTTTCAGCTTAAATATCAGTGAGAAACAGTGGGGTTATGTCACAGTGCCAAGGGGTTTTAACTGCTGGTTTGCTTTCTGTGCAATTCGAGCTTGATGTGAAGCACTTAGGTAGGATGATCAGTCAAGACTGAAAGCTTCTACTGGGGCTTTTACTCTCTTATGACTTATTTGAAGTTATAACTTTGAACCTTGTTGTCACTGGAATTGCCTCCATTAGAAGATATCTTAGAGTTAAGTATTGTCTCATCGTTTCACTGGGAAGCCTCCCTACAAACATATCAACGAGGATATCCTCGATATGTGTCAGTGCCTTGCCAGGGTATATTATCCCATGCAACCAGCACACATCATGTGTATCTAAGTTCTCTGAGGCACCTTTCTTTTGAGCATTGAACTTAGCTGATAGACAGCTCAATTCTCCCCCAGTTAGAACATTGGCACTACATGGTCATTCCCGTAGCTACACCTCACTCATGTGCTCAATAGCATCAAGGACTAAACCATCCAAGGCTCAGAATCAGCCATTGGAACGCCTGTTTCCCGCATCTAGGTATTCCAGACTTTGGAAAGTGGTCAAATTCCATTTTGTTAACCCTTAACACTGGGGGTGGGGAATTTGTTTAGCCTATTTCAGAAGACAACTTCTATGATTGGTCAAGAAGTCGACCTTCTGATTTTGTCTGTGATATCAATAACTTGGGCAAGTACTTCATTGTAAGATCAGTGACTGGAAGGAAATGGCGTTCAGAGTTATCAAGTGGGGTTTCACGGTGAAATGTTTGTACCTGCATTGTGTGATTCAATTGATTTTTATAACCTAGCGATGGTATGTTAACCACAAGATTAATGAGATGAAAAAACCCTTCCAATAGTTATTTTCTAAGCAATCAAGTAGTTTTACTTCGAGATATAAAATAATATCTGGTGATAGCTATTTGATTGCTATGCAGGTAGGATACTGACGTTAGTGGTTCTAATAACTAGAACAACAACAGTTTTTACAACTGAAGATGATTACTTCGAATTCTGAGATTCAGATGAAAAAGCATAGCTCACTTTGTGAACCACTGACTAATTTTCTAGGGTGAGATATTTTTCTTACATCTTGCAAGAATCGAGAATCGCTTGAACACTAGTTGTGTAGTAGTGCGTTTTCTGCAGAGAAGGTCACGCGATATTGCTAGCCATCTCCAGTACACAAAGGAGTGTATATATAACTTCAACACCTGTAGCGAGGGAATTGTGTTATTTTTCAGCATAAAGGATCAGGTGTCTGAATCTAAACCGAAAAGTCCTTGCTTTACCGGATTTTATCAGTATTCCTTTTTAGTGTGTATGATGCAAGCTACAGTGAATTGCCGACTCGTAATGGTCATACATTATCGCGAAAGCTCGGTTGCTAATATTTGTGGCTGTCCAAGTAACTAGACATATTTTGCTTTGAAATATCATACTACGCGTATGTTTGTCTGCGTTTCTGTTGGCATCACAACGTAGGTGTTAATCATGAGTAGAATAAATTTAGTTGAAAAGTCCTAGTTCAGCTGAATTCTGCTGGCACTTCTTCATTTCATGATAATGAGAAAAGGAATTGAGTTTAGTAACTCACAGATGGAAGCACCTAACAGTCTCTTACATACATGAAAGGATTATGGTGAACTGCAAAATAGACACGAAAATTCAGTATGGCGTCATGTGCAATGGTTGTACTCTAGCCGCGACAACCATTGATACACCTCTAAAGCTTCCGCTTTATTAACTGTTGATGGGATTGCACCTGCGCCTACCTTGGATGATATTTTCAAAGATTTATCCATGTTCGATTCTGAAGGGATCCTGCACAATAATCTTCAGTTTAATGAGCATTGTGTTCTTAATTATGATTATGCCATTGCACCTGCACCTACCTTGGATGAT